ATAACAGATAAAATAGGCAATATATTTTGAAATTGAAAACTTATATGCCTATGCTGAACCAGAGCAAACACTCTGTACTTAAACATTACTGTCATGTGTGTTATATCGTAACGTGTAGCTTACACAGACATGTGTCTCTGTCTTTGATCGTTGGTTTAACAATCCAAAAGGGTCGCTTTTTGCAAAACTCTGCATAGGAGAGTCTGACTTCGGGATTCTCGTGTCTAAACTTCAGGTGCAGTGTCTGCATAGAATCCACCAGGAAGCGCTTTTGCATTTTATTTTTCATCTTTGTAATTGTCTCTTTCTTTCCAGTAGTGGCCCTACTGTTATCGTCGCGTTCTAAAAACTTTGTTATCTTTTCCTTCACTTCTTGGCTGACTCTGTTTCGTTGTGTTTTGCGGGTGTATTTGAGTTTGTCGGCCCTTGTCATGTTTGTCCTGATTAGTTTTGTAGAGAATCCAAACTCCTTCTTGGCCATGGTGACCAGGCGGTATTTTTTTAAGATCTTGCCAGCCACAAGTTTGGAGATCAGTTGCCGAGCTTTACGATTGTCAACATTCTGATACTTTTTTCTTATTTCTGACATAATGGTGTTATGGAATAGGAGTGTCTTCTTTAATTGCTTGCTTTCTTGCTGCATCTGTTGCTTTGTTTTCATTTTAGGTGACTCTAGGATCCCCAGGTTCTTCTTCAGTCGATTACTTCTTTTTTTGTATTTTTCAACTTTTCTGAGGGCATCCTCAAGCTTTTGTTTAATGTCATTAAGATCTCTGTACACCTTTGCTTTTGCCTTCGCAACCTTTTTTCTCCCTCTTTTCCTCTGTGGAGTTCTCTCTGGTGTAGGCTCACACAGCTGAGGTGTTTCAGGGATGTCTTCTGCATTAACACTCATGTTGTCTGGTGATGGTGGTGGTGTTGTATGTGCCATGAAACTATTCACTGCTGAGACCATTTTCCATTTCCTACGTCTGTTTCGTTGAGAAATTCGCCACTGTCTTCTCATTTTTCGTTGTTCTCTTTTCGGCATTTCTGTCACAGATTTAACAACACCTTGTTGCTTTTTCTTCAGGTATCTTTCTCTGTCCTTCTTGAGGGACTCTGCATATTTAAGTGGATCTGATTTTATTCTTTCTCTGTATGATCTTGACCTCTGTGCTGTGGTATTGCTTGCCATCTTAAAGAAAGAGCCAAGACATCATGTCAAACCTACTTATCTATTGTTCTCTTATTTACCAACAATATTGTAATATTGTTAAAACTGTTTTTGAATTTAGTATCAGTATTATAGCCCAAATAATTTGCTGTTTAGCACGAACAATGTCATTTCCACCACAACCTGTCTTTACCACCACAATGAACACCGTGGTGGAAATGACTGTGGTGGAAATGACATTTCCCCACTTTCCCTCTAAAATCTCATGCTATGTTAGCCTGCTAATATTAGTTTTAGAGTTAGCATTAAATATACACAAATTACACATTATTAAATTAAATGTATCCAGTTATTTTTACGTCCATGTGAAATATGAGCTGTTTGGAAATGACGACCAATAAACATACTCTCAGTTTTACTCATATTTACCTTGATTTTTCTTCTTTTCATTACCCCCTGTAGAGGACACCATTTCATCCAGCCATGTGTTCCACTGTGGAGTTTCTGTTGCTATGGTTACTAAATATACAAACCTAAAACACTGATCCCAGGATTCTATTTTGTACAGTGTGGTGGAAATGACAGTGACCCCAAGGGACAAGGGTTCTATTTATGAAAAATATAGGAAAATGTGAATATGTATCACAATATATAATATGTAGAATTGAAATAAATTGTATTTTATCATTTGTACTTGAAATCTACATTATTTAAATATTTAATTTAGAATTAAGCGAGGTTGAAGATACAACGTCTGGCTTAGGGACAGAGGGAAAACAGTAAAAACCATGCATAAAAGGCCTCATATTATATAATAAAAAGAATGATTGAGCCATGATACATTTTTTATAAGTTCCCCTTAGGGTGGAGTAAGTATGACAAAAACAAAAAAGAAGAAATGTTTTTTAGTTTTTATTATTTCATCCAGGGACAAGAAAAGTACCATAGTTAAAGAATCACCCATATACGAAACATCATATTTACCATTGAAGGTTTTTGCATTAATTAAAATAACTAGTATATCTTAGAAGTCGTGTTGACCTCTTTTGTTCCTAATACCAGATTTGAATTGACGCGACTTTGACAAAATGTATGACCATAGAGACACATTTTACCCTCAGATTACACAGACTCACAAAGAATTAGAAAACAAATCCAATTTTGATAACCTCCCATATTTACATTTACATTTTAGTCATTTAGCAGACGCTCTTATCCAGAGCGACTTACAGTTAGTGAATACATCTTTTTTTTATACTGGCCCCCCGTGGGAATCAAACCCACAACCCTGGCGTTGCAAACGCCATGCTCTATCAACTGAGCTACATCCCTGCCGGCCATTCCCTCCCCTACCCTGGACGACGCTGGGCCAATTGTGCGCCGCCCATGAGTCTCCCGGTCGCGGCCGGCTGCGACAGAGCCTGGATTCGAACCAGGATCTCTAGTGGCACAGTTAACACTGCGATGCAGTGCCTTAGACCACTGCGCCACTCAGGTGCAGTGGTCCATATCTAATGGGTGAAATACCACAGTGCCATCACAGCAGCTAGATGTGTGACCTGTTGGCACAAGGGCAACCAGTGAAGAACAAACACCATTGTAAATACAACCCATATTTATGTTTATTTATTTTCTCTTTTGTACTTTAACTATTTGCACATCCTACTACACTGTATATAGACATATGACATTTGAAAAGCCTTTATTTTTGGAACTTTTGTGAGTAATGGTTACTGTTCCTTTTTATTGTCTATTTCACTTTTGTTTATTATCTATTTCACTTACTTTGGCAATGTAAACATGTTTCCCATGCCAATAAAGCCCTTTGAATTGAAAATAGCTAGCTGGCTGGCAAACAGCTGCTAACATACCACAACAATCATAGCTCGCTATCTGGTTAGAAAGCAATGACTGTATGCTAGAAAGCTATCCTAACTAAATGGGACAGCTAGCTAGATAGCTCATCTGGTATGTGTAGATAGAGGGAGACGAAGGCGAACATTTAGATGAGAGCTATACACCAGAGGAACAGGCGGCGCGGCAGAGTGATACAGCCCATGTCTGCGCTGTGTGGAGCACTTTACTGGGTGTCTCCTCTCTCACTGCTCCTCCAACAGGGACCATCAGTTGGCTACTGTAGCGGGGTAAATCAGAGTGGGATTTCCACATGACCGGAAGACATGTGAGGTGGAGCACTGAGGTGGAGACCGTTCTAAAGCGGCGTTCACATGCAAGTTGGAACTAGGAAACTCGGAAATGTCCGACTTGCTACCTGGTTGAACGCGGCATGTGTATGACATATCCTAGTTCCGACTAGTATGTGAACGCGGCATTATTATATTAGTGGTGGAGACACGTCGCTACAGGTGGTTGAAAATGTTCAGGGGGAAAGGAAAAGACTGCCGCACATGCGCAGGATAGACACCCTAAACGGAGTTTCTAAACCCAGATGCGCAACATCGCGAGACTCCCGGGAAAGCTTGTGAAGCAGACCAGGCCAGGTTTTGGGGTTAGAGAAGTCAACGAGATGAGTGAAACATTCTGCCTTAGTTGTACATTTTCTCGAAATCTAAAGGCACAACCTAGATTCGAGCCAATGTCTTAAGTTGTTGAACATGTTATTACTCTAACCCCGTGCAAGTGACATACTGACACGTTTTCATTTGAGTCAAACTTTACATCGATGGTCTGCACATGCGCAGTTCGGCGCGAGACAACCGTTAGACGATGACGTGTTTCTGCGCATGCGCTTAGCTAGCTAACCTCACTATGATATCGCCTACAAGCGTGATCGGGGATTTCTATTGGAGACGCAGTTTCTGCTTATCTTCATACTGTACTGTCTTAGCCCTAAATCACGTAGCTCTGGTCCTGAGCTTGACGTTATACGTGCGGCCTCAAACGCCATGGACCAGAGCTACCCTCAATCGAGAAGATTTAATGTACCCCAGGATAACTTGTCTTTCCTCGTTTACAAATTAATCATAATTTCAATGCAATGTTATCTGCTTTGACATTGAGGCAGGACCAGGCACTGGCAGGCTGTTTTTCACTGTATCAAATCAAATTTTATTAATCACATGCATCGTAAACAACAGGTGTAGACTAACAGTGAAATAGTTACTTGCAGGCCCTTCCCAACAATGCAAAGAGAAAGAAAATAGAAAAATAATAGAAAAGTAGTAACACATAATAATAAACAATAATATATACAAAATGAGTAGCGATAACGTGTCTATATACATTATTTAGCAGAAGCTCTTATCCAGAGCGACTTATGGGGTGCCAGCACCGAGTCGATGTGCAGAGGCATGAGGCAATTGAGGCAGATATGCACCTATAACTAGGAATAAGGTAACTAGTCAACAGGACTAGTTTAGTTTATTGTGAAGGACTGATTATCTCAGGCAACGAGCAAACAGACAGTCATGGCAATAATAGATACATGCAGACACTAAGCAACACAACCTATGTATGTATGTACATTCAAGTCTTACAGCAAAAGAGACAGGTTATATTAATTAACAGTAGAACAGATCACCGTACCCTTACTTCTCTTATACCGTATAAATCAAACTTCCAGGATTTCATTAGACATGCAAAATTAGACTCCACAAATATCATTTTACATTATAAAAATACTCAAATCTGATAGTAGAGCACATTTACACAAACAAAAGTGGCATATAAACAATGAACAAAAATGTGTCATCGCAATTAGTTTGTTTTCCAGCATTTACATGATTGTTAAAGACAGGAGAGTTCAGTAGTATGGAGACCTGGAAGGCTGCAGTCAGGACAGCCAGGAGTATGGCAGGAGGCTGTCCACAGGGTGTGTGTGGGTGTGTGTGTGTGTGTGTGTGTGTGTTGGCCAAAAAATAGTCTGACAGACAATTAAAATACTTTTATTTCTACAATCTCTATCATGGCCATCTACAGTAGTTACTACCCTGTACTGAGTATGGTACTCTCTAACATGGCCATCTAGTAACTTCCCTGTCCTCTCTCCCATGGCTGTCCACTAATGAATACCCTGTCCACTCTAGCATGGCCGGCTAGTGACTGCTGAGACTGGATGGAGAAGGATCGGTCTTTTAGCTGCATAAAGCTTTACCATGTTTTGGAATGTCTATAATATCACAAACAGACAGAGAGACAGCGACATGACAGACTGCCTCTCTAAATGGCTTCTGTAGAGAACCTCAATGGACAATTAAGAGACAATTTCTCCATTACCTCTGCGTGTTTGTTTGCATGTGTAACTTTTGGGGTCTTACCTAACCTTATGACGTCCATCTGTTTAAGGCAGACACAAATCCCGATTATTTGGATGGCTAGACTCAAGTGTGTGTGTGTGTGTGTCATGTGGTCCCATCAGCCCCAGTGCTGCTGGTCTGTCTGCTGGTCAACAGAGGGGGTATGGCCTCTTGGTCTGATTCTCTGATGAAGATAACAGCATCACCACTAACATTAATCAGACACTGAGCCTAGAGAGAGAGAGAGAGAGAGAGAGAGAAAGAGAGAATGAATGACGGAGAGAGTGAGAAAGAGAGCGAGGACAGACATGAGGTTCTTTAACCTGTTGGTTCTTTGAGAATATCTTGTAATGCTTTAGGCCTCCAGTTCTTTAACTAACAGAGCAAAGTAACAGTGTGTGTGTTTTTGTACCTGGTTCTTGTTGGGGTTTTCCATGAAGACACACTCCTTCATGCTGTATGACACTAAGGCGTTGCCCCCCAGAGCTGCAACATGGGCACGGACCATGGCAAACACCTCCGCTATGAAGGAATGGAGGAACCCACTTACACCCCCCTCCTAACACACACACACACACACACACACACAGGTAAATATGCTAACCATTTCTCAAATGACTGCCTCGCCTGGTTCACCAACTACTTCTCAGATAGAGTTCAATGTGTCAAATCGGAGAGCCTGTTGTCTGGACCTCTGGCAGTCTCTATGGGGGTGCCACAGGGTTCAATTCTCGGGCCGACTCTATTCTCTGTGTATATCAATGATGTTGCTCTTGCTGCTGGTGACGCTCGGATCCACCTCTATGCGGATGACACCATTTTGTATACATCTGGCCCTTCATTGGACACTGTTAACAAACCTCCAAATGAGCTTCAACGCCATACAACACTCCTTCCGTAGCCTCCAACTGCTCTTAAACACTAGTAAAACTAAATGCATGCTCTTCAACCGAACGCTGCTTGCACCCGCCCACCCGACTAGAATCACTACTCTCGGCGGGTCTGACCTAGAGTATGTGGACAACTACAAATACCTAGGTGTCTGGTTAGACTGTAAACTCTCCTTCCAAACTCACATTAAACATCTCCAATCCAAAGTTAAATCTAGAATCGGCTTCCTATTTCGCAACAAAGCCTCCTTCACTCATGCTGCCAAACATGCCCTCGTAAAACTGACTATCCTACCGATCCTTGACTTCGGCGATGTGATTTACAAAATAGCCTCCAACACTCTACTCAGCAAATTGGATGTAGTCTATCACAGTGCCATCCGTTTTGTCACCAAAGCCCCATATACTACCCACCATTGTGACCTGTACGCTCTTGTTGGCTGGCCCTCACTACATATTCGTCGCCAAACCCACTGGCTCCAGGTCATCTATAAATCATTGCTAGGCAAACCCCAGTCTTATCTTAGCTCACTGGTCACCATAGCAACACCCACCCCTAGTCTGCGCTCCTGCAGGTATATCTCACTGGTCATCCCCAAAGCCAACACCTCCTTTGGCCGCCATTCCTTCCAGTTCTCTGCTGCCAATGACTGGAACGAACTGCAAAAATCTCTGAAGCTGGAGACTCTCATCTCCCTCACTAACTTTAAGTATCAGTTGTCAGAGCACCTTACCGATCACTGCACCTGTACACAGCCCATCTGTAATTAGCCCACCCAACTACCTCATCCCCATATTGTTATTTATTTTGCTAATTTGCACCCCAGTATCTCTATTTGCACATAATCTTTTGCACATCTATCATTCCAGTGTTAATATGAAATTGTAACTATTTTGCACTATGGCCAATTTATTGCCTTACCTCCATAATTTACTACATTCGCACACACTGTATATATATTTTCTGTTGTATTTTTGACATTATGTTTTGTTTACCCCATATGTAACTCTGTGTTGTTGTTTTTATCGCACTGCTTTGCTTTATCTTGGCCAGGTCGCAGTTGTAAATGAGAACTTGTTCTCAACTGGCTTACCTGGTTAAATAATGGTGAAATATATATATATATTTTTTATCACTGCTATGAGCGAGCAGAGGAACAGACTACGCACACCTCATTTCCTATTCATCTCTGATGACACCTTCAGGAATCTATCACACAAACGTGTGTGTGAGTGTACCTCTCGTAGTGATGTGGTCTCCCTAATGAAGAACATGTTGATGATTCCCAAGTATTTCACAATGCGCGTCCCGGGAAGGAAGGACAGAGGAGTCATCTTCACCACGGTAACAGGGGCACTGCACGGCAACGACCTGGTGGAGCGTAGAGACCGGGACCGCCCCTCTGGGAGAGGACTGCAGCGCTCTGAAGACGAGACTGGAGGAGGGGTGATGGGGGAGAGAAAGGGAGCGAGAGAGAAAAAAAGAAAGGGATGGATGGAGATAACAAACTCAGCCTTTAGATGGCGCTACAAAGAATAGCAGACATGAGCTATGAGCTGGAAGAAAATCGATGCAGTGTGTGTGTGTAATTTGAATATGAACTATAAGCGGTGTGTGTATGTGAGTGTGTGTGTGCGCAGTAAGGCAGCATGGTGCCAGTATAATCACAGTGATGAAAGCGTGAGCTGCCATGTAGTGACAGACAGATAAACAGCCATACAGCCTCCGCAGACAGACAGACTGGCCAGACCTCAGCCACATGTGTGCGTGCGTATGTATTTACAGTGCCTTCAGAAAGTATTCATACCCCTTAACTTATTCCACATTTTGTTGTGTTACAGCCTGAATTCAAAATGGATTAAATAAAAAAGAATTCTCACCCATCTACACACAATACCCCATAATGGCAAAGTGAAAACATGTTTTTTAGAAATGTTTGCAAATGTATTGAAAATGATATACAGAAATCTAATTTGCATAAGTATTCAGACCCCTTTGCTATGACACTCCAAATTGAGCTCAAGTGCATCCAATTTCCTTTGATTATCCTTCAGATGTCACTACAACTTGTGGCCAATTCAATTGTTTGGACACGATTTAGAAAGAAACACCTGTCTATATAAGGTCCCCAGTTGACAGTGCATGTCAGAGCAGAAACTACACCATGAAGTCCAACGAACTGTCCATAGATCTCCGAGACAGAATTGTGATGAGCCATATATCTGGGGAAGGGTATAAAACAATTTCAGTGTTGAATGTGTCAAAGAGCACAGTGGTCTCCATCGTTGGGAGATGTAAAAAATATGGAACTACCCAGACTCTGCCTAGAGCTGGCCGTCCGACCAAACTGAGCAACTGGTCAGGTAGGTGACCAAGAACCAAATTACCACTCTGACAGAACTAAAGTTCCTTGGCTGAGATGGGAGAACCTGACAGAAGGACAACAGTCTCTACAGCACTTCACCAATCTGGGTTTTATGGGAGAGTAGCCAGATGGAAGCCACTCCTGAGAAAAAGGCACGACAGCACACCTGGAGTTTGCAAAAAAGCATGTGAAAGACTGAGATCATAAGGCAAAGCATGTGAAAGACTGAGATCATAAGGCAAAAGATGTGGTTTGACGAGACAAATGTAACTCTGAGGTGAATGCAAAGTGCTTTGTCTGGAGAAAGCCAGGCACAGCTCATCACCTGTCGAACACCATCCCTACCCGTGAAGCATGGTGGTGGCATCATGCTATGGGGATGCTTCTTAGTGGCAGGGACTGGGAGACTGGTAAGGATAGAGGGAATAATGAATGGAGCCAAATACAGGCAAGACCTTGAGAACCTGCTTCAGCATGCAAACGACCTTAGACTGGGGCAAAGATTTAAATTCCAACAGGACAATGACCCCAAGCATACAGCCAAAGCAACGCTGCAATGGCTTCAGAACAAGAATGTGAAAGTCCTTGAGTGGCCCAGGCAAAGCCCAGACTTGAATCCCATTGGAAATCTGTGGAGACTTGAAGATTGCTGTTCACCGCCGCTCCCCATGTAATTTATGAGAGCTTGAGAAAGTATGCAAGGAAGAATTTGATTAAATCCCCAAATTCAGATGTGCAAAGCTGATACAGACATACCCAAGACGACTCAAAGCTGTAATCGCCGCCAGAGGTGCTTCTGCAAAGTATTGACTCAGGGGTGTGACTACTTGTGTAAATTAGATATTTCTGTATTTCATTTTCAATAAATTTGCTAACATTTCTAAAAACATGTTTTCACTTTGTCATTATGGGGTATTGTGTGTAGATGGGTGAGAAAAACATTTCATACACTTTGAATTCAGACTAACAACAAAATGTGGAATAAGTTAAGGGGTAAGAATACTTTCTGAAGGCACTGTACCTATGTGTGAGAACGAGTCCCCATGTGCGTTTGTTTGAATTAGCGTGTGTGTATATGATCGATACAAAACAGAAACAGAAGGCAGTCTGCTAAGCAGAATGATTGAATCAAGACAGAGTGTGAAAGATGTTCCATCTAGTAACATAGTGAATGATGCTTCAATCAGACCAGGAACCTTCACAGACAATTTGAACAACATTATGTCTGCATCTCAAATCACTCCCCAGTTAGAGCATTACACAGGGATCTGCCATATGGCTCTGATCCAAAGTAGTGCATTATAAAGGGAATAGGGTGTGATTTGAGATGTGTCGTGTCATTTAAACCCAGTTAATTATGCTCAGTTATCATCACAGTTTATGACAGTTAATTTACGTAGCGCAGAAATATCAAACTGCATTTCCCCCAGTTGCCAGCTTTAGTGAGATATTTTTAGTGCGGTTTAAGCGGGTTTTAAGATCCTCTTTGATGTTTACTTCCTCCATGTCGGTCACTATTGCGACAGAGTCAGAGGTTATACACTGGCTGTTGGTGGGCTAACCCTCTGAGGGGTGGAGCTTCAACTTTCACACTCTAGCTAATCAGCTGGTGCATGATCTGCGACGCTCCACCACCCAGCGGGGAGGGATGTGTATATTTGTTTGTGTGCGCGCGCGCGTGTGTGTGTGTGTACCAGAGTGTGCTAGCAACTGTGTCCTCCTACTTGTCTTAACTGATCCTCGTCTTATGGTGTGAGCTTTCAGCCTAAGCAGCTCTAGCCAGGTGCTGCATCTGTCTGCAAAGGAACCGTAATCAACCGAGGGAGCTGGAGAAAAATACACACACACACACACCGCATACATGCACACACACACACAAACAGAGAGAGAGAACACAACATCCACACCGCATATATGCGCGCGCGCACACAAGTACCGAAAACCGCATACACACAACATAACATAATGCATAATACAGACACACATAAAGAAAAGAACATGGGACAAAAAAATACAATAAATAAAGGATGAGGTTGGGGGCGGAGCAGGAGAACAAAAGGATGAGAACTTAAAACAGGACCGTGGTAGCCATGGCAGCCGGGAGGGGGTGGGATGGGGCTTACCTCGAGACGAGGAGTGGACCATGACACTCTCAGGAACACCTGTCGACATACACACACCATGATCCACTGCCAGACACACCCACAGGTGTTGACTCTTCAGTCCTCAGCAAGATACAACACACAGTATCTGAATACCTTACAGACACTTCCTTTCCTACGTTCTATTCCTTTGTCCTACTACCTGGTCCTATATCCACATCTTGTTCCCTAGTCCTAAATCCCATCTCCTAGTCTTGGTTGATATGGAGGAGGTGGAGGGCGGCCGTTTTGGTTGAACCCCTGCTCTCTTTCCAGACCAATGAAGAACAGGATTGTTTCTCTTCTAGACATCAAAATGCTATTACTCCACTTCGCTCTAGATACACAGACAGGGCTGCAGGTCTAAAATACCTGAGAGAGGATTTACCTGGTTATACAGTCACAGTATTTACCTGGTCATACAGTCTCAGGTGGTAAATTCATGCTTAACAACCACCACGGAACACATTGAAAAAGACAGAGAATAGAACACTATGGTTAAGGGAGTTTCAAGGGGTGAGAGATTACAGGCAGTTAGAGGATTTCTGATGTTTTGTCTGCTGAGGGATGGTTATTGGAGGATAAAGGTTAGGCGGTTGTGAGTGGTTAGGGTTAGAGGGTATAAGGAGTAAGGTGTGGTGGTGTACCTGAAGGTTTGGCTGTAGGCTGGTTGTTGGAGGACGTTGACTCTCCACACAGCTCCATAGAAAACTGTAGCTGCTCCTCATTCTCACCACTCCCTGGAAAACAAACAAACAAACAAACACACACAGAGTTCAATCTCTTTCACCACTCAACCCACCAGAGTGCACCAACTCAAGTAGAGGGTCTTATCTCTCCAGCTCTCCATAACTCCAGAACCTTCTCTAAGCCCTGACATATAGCCTTTAAGAATACTGACCCTTGGTGACTGCCTGCTGAGTCTCCTTGTCAAAACTCATGGCTACGGCTGTCACCGCCACCTGGAAGGGAGAGGGGGAGAGAAAACGGGAGAAGGTATGTGAGAAAATGAAACTATCTTTACCTTGTTGCTATCATTTAATGACACAAATGTAAGAAAAAGACACTGACAAAAATTTAGTTAAGAAAGATGGACAAGATAGGAGAGGTGTGCTCAGGTATGTACAGCATGTCCTCTCACCTGTATGAGTTCTTCCTCTGGTACGGCTACAGTGAAGTTGAGATGGCATAGACAGCAGGGGATCATGGAACGCAGCTTAAAGTATAGACTCTACACACACAGACAAATAAAAAGCAGACAGTTCAATTTAATATGGAAGTTATAGATTAAGTAGATTAAGTAAGAGGAACAACAACGCTTGACCCATGCTTCCCTCTTGTGTGTATGGTCTTACTCTGAGCATGTTCTCACAGAGGTCAGTGAAGATCTTGTTTAGGCCCTGGTTGGTCAGATTGGCATTACTGAGTCTGTAGACCCGGACAGACGTAAACATCTTGGGAGGAACAGAAGAGAACAAGATATTATAAATCGCACAATAACCTGTAGTACAGTAGTAGTAGTGGTAGTAGTATTGTTTCAGTGTGCGAGTCTAACCTGTAGTCCTGAAGTCCAGTTGTAAATCCCAGGCATGACCTCCGTGTTACAGCTGTAGAACCCTGGAGAGAGACAGACAGATGGACGGATATGGTGAAAGAGCAGAGCCGAATTGAAAATATAATTTATAGTAGAACAGTGTGCCTGTGTGTATACCTGCAGGTATGGGGGCATCAGTGAGTAGGGATTGGATGTCCTCTACTGCATCAGTGTCATCAATCTTAAGACAGAAGAAGAAATGCATTAACACACCGCATCCTATACTATGACCACACACTACAATTTACACATCCAACATAACACACCCTACAGTACAGGACACCCAGCCAGCCATACCTCCAGTACGAAGGCATCCTTCTTGCCGTGGGAAAGGTCTAGTTCTGACAGCTCGTCTGAACTCTCAGAGGTAGACCTGAACAGTCTGCTGGACCGCTGTCTGTCAGGGATAGGAGACCCCACCACCTCCTCAATACACTCCTACAACAACAGCAATAACAACAACACAACAATACATGTAAACGTGTGTCTGTGTGTTTCTGACCAACCCTGTCCGGGTTTTGAGCCGCTGAGTTAGTCACAGTCCCATAGAAACACCATCAGTCCAAACCACACAATAAGTAGCTACTTCCATATCACATCCAATTCACCCACACCCAATATAGCGCTATCATCAGAGTAGGTTTTTATATTAGTTAATAGCACACACACACAATTTAGTAGAGGGAGGGAAAGTGAGAGGACTCTTTTCAGGGGTCGAGTTAACGCAGGATTTAGCTTTTTTCACGCAGAAAAGGAAAGACAAAACGCAGAAAAAATATCTTGCTGCATTTTGTAAATGCAGATCTAAAATGCTTCTTATTGTAAATTCTGCTTGGCTTCAGTCAGGGTTTGCTCAAAATTATTAATGTAAAAGGACTAATTTCATGCTTCAGTTTCACTTTTCCACTCGGATGAAATATCTTTGCTCTAGTCATTGGATCACCAGACAGAGCTCTGACTGATGTGTAGGCTACTTTTCTCAGGTACTTTTCTCCGGTAGCAAGTTAAAATGCAAACAAAACATTAGGAAATGCAGCTGGCTACATTCTTTCTATGATAAACATTTTTGCTAAAAATACCTTGCTTATTGATTGTAAGCTAATTTACTGATGTGTGGATGCTAGCCAAATAGCATTACACTGCTGTTGTCATCTGATAAACTATTTTCTGCCAAATTTGTTGCACTAATGTATTTTGTGTTAAGAAAAACTACAGTTGCACGCCCCTTGGAAATGCATGAGCATACTAGCTGTGTTCTTGAGTGTACCATCATAGAGCTCTGATTCTAGACTGTACTTACACAGAGTTGTGATTCTAGAGTGTACGCATTTACTATAGAGCAGTGATTCTGGACTGTACTCATACAGCTGTAATTGTAGGACTACTCATATTGTGATTTTAGTGTATTGTACTCATATAGATGTTTAATTCTTGAGAGGCCATTGTACTCATACAGAGCTGTGATTCTAGAGGGTGTTGCACTCATAGAGAGCTGTGATTAATAGAGAGGGTAGTGTGGCATGCATCACTAATTGGGCATGCTCAGTACCGTATTCAGGCTGGTGAATGCCTCAGGGTCCAACGTAAATAACTTCTTAACAACCAGAGAAAGATACAGAGAGGAGATAACTATCACCTTCATATTTACACAGAATTACAGCTACACACATATGGCTGTGTGTGTGTCTCACCGGGGGGTGTATGTTGTAGAGCTCCTTGTTCTTGGCGATGGTGTCATTGATGCGTTTCTGCATGGTGGAGATGTGTTGGTCGTAGCTCAGGTCACTGGGGGTCTTACTAGCTATCTGGATACCACCTGGAGCTGGCAGCGCTGACAAGTACACGCCCGTTGCAGACTGGACACACACACACACGTCAGAGAGAGGGACACACACACACTTGTCAGATACACACCTTGTAGAAGACTCGAGGAGAGGTAGGCACGCACACAAGCACACAGACTTACAGCTAGTCCCAGGAGCATGTTTTCTCCCACACTGATCTGAATGCGGAGTCCAAACAGAGCGTTCATGGAGCGCAGCTTGAGTTTGTTCATCAGCTGGGTGTGGAGCTCATACTCCATGAAGGGGAGGAGGTTAGAGATGGCTGTAGCGTTCACCTCCCCTTGGGCCTTCTTCTTCGTACGACACAACCTGTAATATAACACAATTTTATACACCTCCCTGGGCCACCTTCTTCGTAGGAAACAGTTTGGAGGAACAACATAATATTACCCACACATAGACAGGATATATGGTGGTAGTGTGTGTGTTACCTGGCCTGTATGAGGCAGCCCTTTCCAGTAACAGCAGCCTCAGCAGGTAGGTCTATGGTAGTAAAGAGCACGTCAGGGACCTTCTGTCTCCTACAGTGGTAGCAGTATGTGAGCTGAGCTGGGAACGGCATGTTGAACTCATCATACGGGATGTGACAAAACCCGCAGCTAGGGGGCGACGCATCCTCAAACCTGGAATACACACACTGCTCAGAAAGACTGCTAAAATGCAATTTTTTAATTCAATTAATCCAATTCATAACACCACTCTCCATTTAGAACCAATCAATGACTAGGTTAGTCCAAAACCTCCCGGCCACTCAAATCTTCTCATACCTACACTAACACCCATCCAGCATTGTGTGTGTGTTCCTACCCCAGCCAAGTTGAGCTAACTTCCCCATCGCCCCTCTCCGACCCCACCATGCTGGGGTGCGGTTGCCGTGACAACCTGTGGTCGCTGCCGCCAGTGTCCAGACAGCCCTCACGCATGAATCTGGGATTCAACATGGCTGCCGTGCCAGATGCAGACAGGATACACACCTCCTCACTGTGGGAAGAGGAGTGAGGGGAGAAGGAGGAGAAGAGAGGGTGGAGATGGTGGATAACTTTAGATACATTTCTTTGCCTATAATACACTAACAGACTTTGAAATAGCGCTTCAGTCTATGTATTGTGTGAGTATGAGTATGGTGTGTGTGTGTAGTGTACCAGATGCTGGTGCTCTCGCTGTATCCCACAACAGCGTGGCAACCCAGGGCTTTGGCATGAGACTTGATCTCCTGACGAATCTCCTCCCACCACGCGTCCCTCGTCTCCGGCTCGTCTGCAACACAAACACACATAACATAATACACAGACATGCATAGCGACACACACACACACTGGCTGGCTACCTAACTGACTGACTGTCTACCAGAAACTAGCAACAGTCAGAAACTAGCAGACTATCATACACTAGCACCTATTAGAAACTAGCAGACTATCATACACTAGCACCTATTAGAAACTAGCAGACTATCATACACTAGCACCTATTAGAAACTAGCAGACTATCATACACTAGCACCTATTAGAAACTAGCAGACTATCATACACTAGCACCTATTAGAAACTAGCAGACTATCATACACTAGCACCTATTAGAAACTAGAAACTTTTAGAAACTTACTGACCATCGGAGTGGCGACTATTAAAAACTAGCTACTATCGGAAAATAGCAACTATCGCAAATTAGTGACTTTTTGCAAATAGCGACTATTAGAAACTAGAACTATCGAAACTAGCGATTATCAGAACATAAGATGCAACTGACATTTTTTTTTGCTGATTGTGTTAAAATGGTGGATCATAGCAAGCAGATAACGCTTAACCAACTGTCAGTTCGTAACACAGTGAACATGTTGATGACGATGATGAACATAATGAAGGTGTTTAGTTAGTGTCTGGGCTGTTCTCATCTCATAGCATCATCTCCAGGCCAGCCAATCACAGGAAGACAGGAATGTAGGGTGGCGTCCAAACCCCCTACATCTCCTTTACTTCATTCCCATAATGTGTTGTGTTCAGTAGGCCACACCAAAGCTATAAATATGGAAACAAATAGGAGTATTCTTATTGGACAAGTTCAGGAAGTGCTTTCCTGTTTCAAAACATTATCTACAGTTTTCGAGGCTCCTGAACAAGGCCCTGGCCTCACATAAGGCCAGGAGAGGAGGAGAAGAGGCCCTCTCAGAGCCTTCATCATACTCAAATGAGGGACACCTGGTGGAGGCTGAACCATGGTCCTTAATAATAACCATGGGTCCACTCTGTACCTCCTGGGACAGGCCACATGCTCACAGAGAGATAGAGAGATGAGAGAGAGGGAAGAAGGGAGAGAGAAAGAGGAAAACAGAGAGAGGAAGGAAGGAATGGATAAATGAATCAGGCATAACAGACCCAGAGCAGGGTCCTCTCAAAAAAAAGCAGCATGTCTCACACGTACGCTTGTGTCCACACGCATGGGTGAGCTCAAACACGTGCACGCGCATGGGCAGAGGGCCATATTCATTAATCACAGAGCTTGAACCAACACAGCCCTTTCTCAATCGAACTACACTACCCTCTGTCTCGCACTCCCTCGATTCCTGTACCCCCCTCCATCCTCTTGTCTCTTCCCCCCCTCCCAGCATGAATACGGCCCAGTGGATCCAGGGATGATGCACATGCCCAGTCTGTCTCAGTTTGAACCTGGACAGGTTTGATAGAGGAGCATTACTGAAGTGCAGGGAGAATGTTAGGGATGCAATGTGTCACACACTGCCGTAGCAGCTTGGGAAGGTGGGCTAGCCAGGGGGGAAGGTAGGGGGGGCTTAGCACATGCTCAGCACACACACATACACAGACTAGAGAGAGGAGGATGGCAGCTCAGTGAAAGAAACAGAGCTTTAGTTTAGAGGTTTAACTAGATGCTTGCAGACACCCATATTTGTGTGGCTGGGTGTTTCAGTGAGCTACCATGTCTCCAGTGTGTGAGACCAGTAGGAGGAGGGAGGTACCTGCAGCGACACTATTCCAGTCTAGCAGTTTGTAAGAGCGTGTGTTACCCAACACTGGGCCAGAACAACACACACCATTAGTACAGAAAGAGAGAGGAAAAAGAGAAGACAAACTACAACACAAACAGCACCACAGTCATTGCAAAGACACAGACCACTGAGTCAATACCAGAGTCTAACAGAGAGAGAGAGAGAGCGGACAAGTAGAGAGAAAAGCAGATAGAGTGAGAAGACTGATCAGAGAGATGATGTGGAATTAGACAAGCAGGGAGAGAGAGGTATAGGCTATTAGAGAAAGAGAAGAGGCATTCACTAGCAGATGTCTAAGACAGGGGTGTCAATCTGGCCCACCGGTAGTTTGAGTAATAAAAAATTAATATATACACACACTGAGTATACAAAACATTAAGAACACCTGCTCTTTCCATGAAATAGACTGACCAGGTGAATCCAGGTGAAGGCTATGATCCCTTATTGATGTCCCTTAATCATGCTCCCTTCAAAAAATGAAGGGTTAAAGGTAGATTGAATGCCTGGTACACTCCAGAATTATCAGAAGTCATTCATAAAAGAGATCACGCTTGGGCCAAGGCCTGGAACATAGGCTTAGGGCCGGACTGGCAAGCTTTTAAACAACTGAGGAATCTTTGTTTAAGACAAATCAGAAAGGCTAAATCTGATTGTAATGGGAACCCAGCTAAATTGTGGAAAACTCTCAGATCCCTGAAGGGTTCTACTTCCTCCTCTCTGCCACAACAAATTAATTTACTGAAAAAAATGCCATCATTGATGCATTTAATCACCATTTTATTTCAGCGGGCTCTCTTTTAGAAATAACTTCTAAGCCTATTGATAATGATATTGGGTTGGATGCTGATAGGGGAAACTTGCTGTATGATCAGAGAAATGATAGTCAAAGCTTTTCTTTTAGGCTATTTACAGAAGAAATCCACAGGGCCTGACTAACCGGATCCCGGTCTGCTTAAGTGTGCAGCACCCATCATTGTTGGCTTAAATGAACCACATTTTTATTTAACACTGTATAGTGTTAATAACATATTCAAAAAGTATAGAAATCAGCTCGTGCTGCCACTCCATAAGGGCGGGGATAGTAGTGATCTTAATAATTATCGCCCCATTTCAAAGCTTCCTTGTCTAGCTAAGATTCTTAAATCCTTGGTAAATGTACAAGTTAGCTCTTTTTTATCTGAGAAATATATTTTGAATGTAAACCAATCAGGATTTAGGCCTGGGCATAGCACTATTTCAGCAAAAACTTTAGTTGTTAAGGTTGGACAAAGTTGAATTACTGTTTAACGGTTGCCACGCCTTACTTTTCTCCACACCACGCAAAAAAATAAACTAGGCGTATGTCGCGGGTCACTACTTCACAGGAGAGCCATTTGAACGTAAACTTTTTTTTTTAAATGAAAATGCGTTATTGGGGCAGAAATGCCTTCTGGAACATGTGAACTTTCATGTGCCTTAATAACAAACTTGTATGCCATTCGTAAATACAAATAAAATCGTTAAATTACGAGCCTAGTTGGTTTAGCCACAGAAAAAGACAAGAACCTTCCCGCTAGCCATGATTGGCTGAGATAATTGTGGTCCTCTGTAGCTCAATTGGTAGAGCATGGCGCTTGTAACGCCAGGGTAGTGGGTTCGATCCCCGGGACCACCCATACGTAAAAATGTATGCGCACATGACTGTAAGTCGCTTTGGATAAAAGCGTCTGCTAAATGGCATATTATTATAATTGATGGGCTGGACATGCAGGTAGATGAGTTTGGATTGGTCTGCCATGTAGCATGCTTCTGTTTATAATGTGAGCTGCTCAGTATGTGTTGATAGTCCTTTCTACTGCTCCGTTTTTTAAATGTATAACGTTAGCCATCGAGAACTACAGAAGTTTTGCTACTTTTCTTAACAACATTGATGCCCTGAATTTAGCAGGCGCTATCGACAGATCAGATGGAAAAAGTGATTTGCTACTTTCTGCACACGCCACAGTCAGTGTGAACCGGAGTAACTTGACACAATGCTGCCCAAACAAGATGTAGCTACAAACAAAACTGAGTTAAATGGTTCCAGTCTGCCGTGAAGCTTTCATCCATGTATACGGGTAAGAGTCTAGAAACAATTTCAGATGTTATAAATTTCAAATTTTGTCAGAAAGTCATTTTCATTGCAAGTTAAAGCGTACTGTTAGCTAGCTAGCGAACGTTAGCTTGCTGGCTCGCTATTTGCATTCTTAGTTACAGCCTAATGTAAGCTAGCTAACATTGAACCTGGTTGGTTAGCTTTAGCTACATGCAGATTCATACTCCAGCTATGACAATGTTTCTATTGGTTGATAGTAGTACGAGTTTGGATTATGCCAGTTCATTGTTTAGCTAGCTAGCTACATGTCTAAACAAAACACTTCGCCAGATGATTACATGACCCATCAAGTTAGCCAGGTGTGTCTGGGGGTGATTACGGCCATCTATTGTATTTCATGAACATGTGTATATGTCTAGACAATAGTGACCCATCCACTTAGCTTGATAGCATTCTAGCATTTCCTTCACATGACCCATCAATTTAGACAAGTGTGTCAGGTAAGCGTCATGTAATAATTATAAAATATTTTTATCTGGACACTTTGTTTTTGATATTGCTACTATGCACGTATCCATTACACTATCCTGTTTACACCGTCTGTATCCTGTGCATGTGACAAATCAACTTTTTATTTTATTTGACATAGTGTGTTTACCAGAGACTGTAATGTGAAGAAGCAACATGACCTGCACCAAAGTCTGATTAGGAAATAGGCCAAGGACTAGATAAAGTGTATTTTTACCTGGAGTTTTTCCTTATTGTAGGCTACTACTTTAACCACTTTTAGTCTTGAAATCTTTGGTTGTTTACTAAACTAATCGCTCTGTTTAGCAAATGGCCTCATGTGAATGCTTAAAGACATGGGTGTGAACGATGCTGAATGGGCATAGACAAAGAGCAGCTCTCCAGTAGGTGTACCAAAACATTCAAGGGCCATTTTCTCGAAAGTGGAGTTACAAGTTTATGAACTTTCAAAGCAGAATTACTTTCCCATTGTTCTTCAACTGCAATGTATGATATACCATTTTCTAGCTCTGAGTCGCTACTTTTATCCAACGTAAAAAACACAATTTCAAATGTTGCTATATAAGACCGAATCGAGGCAGTCGGTCACATATGCAGATGATACTATTATGTATGCCCAAACTGTTGCCACAAAGTTGGAAACACAGAATCCTCTATATTGTTATTGTATGCT